ACATTGCCAGTGAAGCGGAAGACCCAATAGTATTATGGACTACTGGACTCTATTAGAATATTTTGCTGAGTTTACACACCTATAATATTCAAATAATGAAACTTAACAAAAAAAGGGTATACAGATGAATATCCATTTTGTATCTGTGTATTCAAAGTGGTTAGGATAGATATATAGTTACATTCTCTTAATGAATAGAATGATTGATTCTAATGGCGTTTGTAAATAGGAAGGATATCATGTCCTCATCTTATACAGCAATTAACCACTAGGAAGAATGTATGCAATATGTTAATTGTTGAAATTGTCCTACCAATTTGATTTGAAACTGTCTCATTGCTATTTGCTTATCAATAAAAGTATAGGAAAAAAAAAGAAAAAAATTAAATTAAATTAAAAAAAAATAATTTTTTAGAAAAACAAAGGCATGTTTCTTTAAACCAACAACCAAAGACATGTTAATTTTACACAAAGAAATTTGAGGTGATTAAGTTTCTGGTTTCTTACCTGCCAGGTAATTTAAATATAGCCAAGCCTATCAAATTTAAACTTTTCCTTTGTTAAGCATGGTATTGATAAATTTCATGTTGGTTGAAAGTGAACACTTACCCTTGTAAAGCTTTGTGAATCTGTTGGCACTTTTTCTTTAATAGTGCAAAAATATCTGAATGGAAAAGAACACATTTGTTGATACATTTGGAACATCTGCTTTGACTAACCTCAGTATACTGTAGTGGCCCAGCTCAAATTTAGTTTTTCAATTTAACATGCACTAGAAAATCTGACCACAAATTAACAGAGATCCAGAGACTCACATTCCTCTGGGGGCCCATTCTTTATCTTTAACACTGAACTCACCTCCTCTCACCTTGCCACCCCATTTTCATCAAAATCTGGAATACTAGTTTCCAACAAAAATAATGGCTCTCATTTATGCCAAAATTCTATAGATAACTGAGTTTAAGAACAAAAGAAAGAAGTCTACTATGTAGTTTTCTTTTTATTTTAAACAACTTTGAAAAATCTATCATGGAAAAGTAATTTTTTGGATAGTTTCTATTTATTCAAGGGAAATTTAAGCAAAAGTATTTGATCAGGAGACAGAGGTGCCAGGCTATCTCATGATGAGAACCTGAGTGTGTCTCTGTACTACATAGAGACAGGGACACACTCAGGTCTTCTGATTCCCTGAATCAGTGCTATGGATTCAGGAATCCCAGGCAAGATCGACCCCCACTGCCCCAGTGTGAAGCTTTTAAGCCAGTAATATTAGAGTCAAATACCACATTTTAAATTCTCAGTCCTCAGTTGGCTTTCTTTTTGCCCACTGTTGCTAAACTAGGCTTAGCTTAGTACCAGTTGAATCAAAGGCAAAGGAAAAAACTAACAATATTTACAAAATTATATGAACCAAAAGCATCCCACTTCAGGTAATTACTCAGAAAACCTATTGGAAACTGGCCACTTACCCAAAGGAAAGTGTGTAAGGCCTGTACTCCTATCCCTCCCCTTCACAGTACTACTGCCGGCTGGAGCAGCCAACCCTGAGCACAGAACAGAAGCTCTAGCCCACAGCAGGCAAGACACTTCCTTCCCTGCTACTCTTCCCATCAATCTTATGCATAGGTGAGTGGCCCTTACATAAAATGCTGGGGACCAGAAACATTTCAGACTTCAGAGTTTTCTGATTGCGTCAAACTTGATAGACATTACAGGCTAAGCTTCCCTAGCCTGAAAACTAACATATGAAATATGCCCATGCTCAGAAAAGTTTTAGATTTTGGAGCACTTTTGATTTTGACTTTGGCTTTTGGTTTAGGGAAGATGAACTTGTAATTCAGAGTCAAGAGTTTTGTCTAGTAAATAATTTTTTTTTTCTGCCTAATGTCTCCAAAAAGCAAGTGAGGAACACAGTTAACGTAACCTGATTTTAAATGTTATACCTGGATTCTCTTCCATGATGTTGAGGGCCTCTATGGCAGCAGCAGCTAATAGGGGAGGTAAAGATGCTGAAAAGCAGTACCCCTGGCCAGAGAGTCGCTGAGAAAAAAATAAGTAAACAACATCAACTCTTTCTGGATGAAGTGTTCTGAGGCCAAATCTCTATAGTACCTACTGAAGTGTGCACACATGGTGAGGGGTAAGATCTGCACAGGTAACAAAAACAAGACTTGTAAGGGAAACAATTTCTAAAGATAAAGATTAGTGAGTGAATTTTTTATTTTTGTTTATTAGTATGCGTGTAGTGCATAATATTTACAATGCTTGTGAGAAGCTGGTATATGCATGTAACATATCTTAAAAACTTTTTTTCATCCTCTTTCCTCCTTTCTCCATCTCTTGATCATCTTTTTTGTTTTGGTACAACATCCCTATATCTTTCTTCATCCCCTTTCTTTTGTTTTCTTTTTCTTCCCTTCATCTCAAGTCCCTTCCTCTTTGAGAAAGTTCTCCCTACCTCCTATTATCTATCTTTTATTTTGTTCTTTATTTTTACTCAGAATTTCTCACACATGAAAAGTCTGACAAAATTTAAGCTTGCATAAAATGGTCTCAAGGTGCATCTATATTTCTACAAATGACTCAGATTTTCTTTATGGCAGAGTAGTGCACTGTGCATAATCACATTTTCTTTATCATCTGCTTGTGGACATACAGGCCACTTTCAAGGTTTACTTATGAAATGTGCTGCTATAAAATGGGTGCGCACGTATCACTGCATTATGATGCCTTTAAATCTTTTGGAAAGATACCTAAAGGGGAACAGCTGGGATGAATGGAATTTCTAGCTTTAGTTTTTTGAATAATCTCTACACTGATTTCCATAGTTGTTTTACTAATTTATGTTCTCACCAACAGTGCAGAAGAGTGCCTTTATCTCCTGCAGCCGCTTCAGCATTGGTAACAGTCATTCTTCTGGAATCCCAGTGTTAGGCATTTCTCTAACCAGTAAACTGTTTTAATATCTGTTTCTAAATAAAAACTGTGATGAACTGATAATAGAATTTTATTTTGAAGTGAAATTCTGCCCAAGGGACTGATTGGTCTCACATTCTTCTTGTTTTTGACAAAGTCCTACCTGGTGGTCAATTACAAAAGACCTGCCACAACAGAAACCGCCTATGGATGCAAGTGAGTTCTCCATGTTGGCACTGATAAGATCAATGTCATCAATCTGCCAGAAAAGTAGGAAAAAGCAGTAATTATTCCTTGAGTTAAATGGGAAAAAAAGGCAATATGAAGCATAAACACAATTTCAACACAAACAATATCAGTCACACCTGAACTCAAAGAGAGATGGAATCTGAAGCTGTTTGAAAGAAAAAAATAGGCAGGGGCACATAATATTATTTCCTTGCCAAAACAGTGGGCAAGCTGTCTTATCCCATAGAATATATTCAAGATAAATAACATACTCTAGGATTTTGGGTTCCTAGATCCCTCCTCCTCAGAACTCATTTAGTCCTCATCTTACTCCAGCTCCTAGTACCGTTAGAGGGACACAGTAGGCATACAGCAAGAACTTTCTCAGGGCTGTGGCAACGGCTCATTGGATCTCCTCTGCTGTGTTTCTAAGTGTTCCATAGATCAATGGTTTTCAAATATCCCTGCCTGATGAACTTTCACATCTGCTTGAAGTTGGACCTAAGTAAGGTCTCTACATGCTGCTCTTATTCTTAGTCCCGCGAGCATATTATCTCTGTGACAACTGTTGACAACATTTACAAAAATTAGAAAAGTTCGTGTTTTTCCTTTTTAAAGAATTTTCATGACTTAAAAGGGCTTCATTCTTCTGCTAAATTTGCTTGCAATAATCTTTCTGTGAATGTCAATGTGTCCTAGATGACTATGCTTCCAATTAAATCACATGGCATTTACTCTGCACTACATTTATCTCTAGGACAGTATGGGTACTGGGATAATCAACGGGCATTTTAGATTTTGTAATTCACTTTGTCACACAAAGATTTAAATGCACACATTTTGGTGAAAAAACACCCTGAAACCACAATAATTTACCCCTCACTGTGCTTCAGAGACTGAAATTCATTACGTACCTGGGCCATTCTGGTCCATTTCCTCCACCAGAAGGACAAAAGGCATACTCACTCCAATTACCTGGAGCCTTTAGGAACTTTGCTGAATACAAGCCAGTGAGGTTTCGGGCACCACATATATGCATGTGGATGTGGATGTGTGCGCACCCGTTTCTGTGCACCCACATAGATACGCTATGCATGGCCTGTTACCTCTTACATACACAAATTACATGGGATAAAGATGTTTAAATATAGGAACCCTTCTACTATTATCAACACTTTTCAAAAAACTACTACAGGAATTCTAAATGATTTTAATATATATTAGGTAAAATTGAACTGGTGTGAGAAAAACAAAACATGAAAAGTCAAACCTAAACACTCCATGTAAACAGAACATAAATTCCAGGGGAAAGAGGATCCCCTCGTCAGATTAGCTATATAGATCCTGGATTCAGTGAAGTCACAGAAACCAAAGTTATGACCCTCCAAGGGGTGGTGTCTTCAGGCTATGACAATTCATTCAGCAGAACAGAACCACATGCCTACTATGGGGGCAGACTTCTCCAACACAAAGAACTTACACTGATTCCATAGTGTTCAGTGACGCCTCGGCCATGCTCCCCAAGAACGCCAAAGGAAAGGCTTTCCTCCAGAAAGATTCTTGCCTTGTATTTGTATTTTAACTTAACCTACATATGAAATAAAACACAACTTCAAAGCACTGAAGATTAGCATTAAGTAGAATATATTTCAAAGAAAAAAATTAAACCCGAAAAAGTATATATAGTTGACCCTGAATTCTGTGTTTCTAAGCTCACTTACCTGCTAACATTTATTTGTAACCTAAAGTCAGCCACCATCTATTCCCACAGTACCAGCAGACACGTGCACATGTGGCCACGGTGCAGGCTGGAGCCAAGTTACCTAACAAACAACCTGGTGCCAGGGTTATTGTCATGTTTTTGAGTTTTGTGCTTTTGCTGGTGACTCTACTGCTTAAGATGGCCCAGGTGAGGTGTTGTCTAGACTTCGTAGTGAAAAAAGGACCTGCAATGCCTCATGAGCAAATGCTGAAGAAGCTCCATTTGGGGAAAAATTCAGTGTGAATGAATCAGCAGTACGTACTGAATAAGGGATCTTTATACAGAAACACTCACAAAATAAGTTATGCACTGATTGGCTGACAGAAACGTGATCAGAGGCTCACAGAAAATGAAATCTGAAAGCACCCCAGTAGCACTGCCTATGTGAGTATGCTGGCAACTTTACAAAGAAGGTTAAGTATGACAATCAAGCATACTCCAGGTTTCTAACCTGATCTAGTTTAAACTGATATCAGAGATAGGACAAAGCAACTTTTATTTTTTATATTAAATAAGCAATAAAATAATGGCATAAAATTTCAAAACAATACTATAAAAGATAAACAATGGTTAGTACATTGTATATTATCTTCAAAGTAATTGCTCATATTATATAGGCATGAAAAATGATCACACAATATAGGCAGAAATCTTTTTTTCAAAGAACAGTAACTCATAGTATAACCATCTTAACTATCACGTGTGTATATGTATGTATGTATTTTTTCCTTTCCCATTCTTTTTTCCTTTCCATTCCAGTTTCTTTACTTCTGAGTAGTTTCTTCCCATTTCACAACATCTAGTGTACATTTTGGGTCTTATTTATCCATTCAGCTTCTTACACTAGAAAGACAATATAATGTTTATGCATGAAAGGCTGATTTATTTCACTTATGAATACGATTTCTAGTTATATTCATTAACCTATAAACGCCTCAACTTTATCACTTTATAATTGAGTAGTATGCCATTGAATAAAAACACCATATCTTTTTTATCTATTTCTCAGTTAAGGGCGCTGGGGAAATGGCTCAGTGGAATCAGTGCTTCCCTGGCAAGCACAAGGGCCTGAGTTCAATCCCTGGTTCCACCAAAAAAAAAAAAAAAAAAAAAGAAAGAAAAGAAAAGAAAACACAAACAACAACAACAAAAGTTACTGATGGAAACATTTCTCAGTTAATGGGCAGATTGGGTTGTATCCAAGATTTAGCTATTACAAATAGTGGTATTATAAACATGGGTGTGTACATATGCCTGAGGTGTAACAGTCTGATTCTTTTGGGAAGTTACCCAGAAGGGGAACAGATAGGTCAAATGGGACCTCTAATCCTGGCTATTTGAGGAATCTCCACACTGATTTACATAACAATTATACCAGTTTACATTCCCACCAACAGTGGAGAAAGGTTCTTTTTTTCCCATAGTCCCATCAGCATTTGCTATTGGTTGATTTCCTGATGATAGCCATTCTTCCTGGGGTGAGGTTGAATTTTATTATTGTTTTAATTTGCATTTCTCGAATGACCAATGATGATTATTTTTATATAGTCATTAATTAAAGTACAGCAGTTATCAGGCAATACATTTTTATGAAAATGATATGAGAATCATTTGGACTCTCAGGACTTCTGATTCTTGTGTTCTTTCTTGTGTTCTTTTTATAATTATAGGCTGAATTATTAAGATCTTTATTGCACTAAAACTATAGAAATAACATACACAATATATAAGATGGTTTGATGTCCCATACCACAAGTTTCTTCTAATTGTTTACATTCTGTTTTTATTTTTGTTTTTACAGTGTCTCACTCTGTAGTTCAAGGTGGGCTTGAACTATGTAGCCCAGGTTGGCCTCAATCTCAGCAATCCTCCTACCTCAGCCTTCCAGCTTTTGAGATCACAGGGTAGTACCATCACACCTGGCTTAATAGTGCTCTACCATCAACTTTTTACTGGCTATTCTCGTTGTTCAACAGTCAATGAGCAGAGATACTCGGTAAGCTTTTGGTTGGATTTTCAATATTGAGTGAATTAATTTTGGGACAATTACATCTTTTCAACATGACTCTTTTCTATTCCTTAGTGAAATATTTACCTAGTATCCAAAAATCATGTTTCAGAAAACATTTAGTAATAACACTAGCATAGAAACAGAGCAGTGAAACAAGACTGGAATCCAGGTCAAATGTTAATATGCATCATGTAACCTTTAAACAATGGTGACAAATGTTTTGGTTACTTTTCTCATTGCTGGGACAAAATATCTGACACTTAAAATTAGGGAAGAAAAGCTTTATTTAGCTCACAGTTAATGGAGGTTTTAGTGCATACTCTGCCGACTCCAAGGCAGAGTGCTATATAATAGAGGGCAGCAATTCATGATGGTAGAAAACTACAGAAGTAGCAAGAGTAAAAAGAGAAAAGCAGCAGAGCAAGTCTCTTTTACTTCTTTATACTGAATGCAGGCTACCCACACTAGGGTGGGTGCAGAACTCACACCCATAATCCCAGCACTAGACCAAAAACTCTAGAAGCTTACTGCTTGACTACAGGAGGCTTTTGGGGGACACACTTAGATACAACCCATAGCAACATATATTTGAGTAGTTCCCATACTGTTGCATCATATTTGTTTTATTCACAATGTTTTATGACTGCAGACCTGTAACATAAAGTTCTAGGATGCTTTGGTCCTCCACCTCCCTCACAATTTCCTACCAGTTTCTTCACGAACAAAACTAGAAAGAAGAAAAGTCTTATAATACTATTTCAGATATATTTGGATTTCTTTAAAAGTACAAATACTTTTTCTGTGTGAGTGTTAGGCTTTGGATCCAGAGCCCTGTGCAGGCTAGGCAAACACTCGACTACTGTGTTACATCCTTAGCACAAATAATGGTAACTATTAAAAATATATGAAGACCTTATTTTGAAACTTATACAATTAAGAGACTATTAGATTCAAATCTTAATAGCCAAATGTAAGGGTGGCTCATCTGAGGAAATCAGTTGATTCAGAAGATGACATCATCAGAGTGAAGGAAAAACCATGACTCACCTCTCTTGATACAGAAAAAGCATTTGAGAACCTCTCACACTGAACAAATTATAACCTAAAAGGAACTTAACCTGACAGAGGATATTTAAGAAAAACTCACAGCTAATATCATACTCAATGGTGAAAGGCTGAGAGCCTCATCATTTAGTGACAGCAAAGCCATCTGAAACCATAAAAGCAAAGCTTTTGAGAGTCAGGAAATGTAGGAAGAGTGGGACCCTAGAACATTATTGATGGGAACATGAAACAGTGCAGCTGGTAAGAAAAACAGAATGGTGGATCCTTGGTTACTGTATGATCCGGCAGCTACACTATTAAATAATATACACAAAACAAGCAAGTTCACAGCAGCATTATTCACAATAACCAAAAGACAAACACAAGCAAAACACCATGTGCAGACAAACACACACAATGTGGTAAACCCATACAATGCAACATTACTCAGCATTAAAAAAGAATGAAATCCTAATACACAGTACAACATAGATGAACTGTGAAAGCATTATGCTAGTGAATGACGCCAGACACAGAAAGTTTCAAGCTGTATGCGGCCATTCATAGGAAATATGCAGATTAAGTACATCTAAAGAAACAAAAAAAAGACTAGTGGCTTCCAGAAACTAGAGGGAGAGGAATGTGGAAAATAACTGCTTAATAGGATGGGGTTTCAAAACTAGGCAGAGTCCACAGCTATATAATATGGTGAACACACTCAGTGTCACTGCCCTGCCCATTTTATTAGAGTGATTAATTCTGGGCTATGTGGATTTCACACCGATCAGGAAAATGTCAGTTTCTAAAAACAGTACACTGCTTTTACTGGAAAAAGTAAAAAGTTGAGTTTTACAAAATACATTTGCTTTCATTTAAATGAAATTCTACAAAAGTGCAACTAGTCTTTGGGAACAGAAAGGACATCAGTGGCTACCTGGGGTCAAAGATATGCAGTGACTACAAAGAGATATGAGGTAATCAACTGGAATAATGGCAATGTTTTGTGTCCTGACTGTGATGCTGGTCCGATGGTGTATATATAATCTGTTAAAATTTATCAAACTATACTTAGAGTAGGTGTATTTTGTACTAACATTAACTGTGGCCATAAATATGTGATAAGATAAGGTCTATCTGCCCAAAAGTCTGAATACTACAATTATGATTAAACATGGCTGCTTACCAACTCTGGAAGGGGACAAATACTTCCGGTATTCATATACAATCCTTCTACTACGATGAATCGTCGAGTCACACGAGCTTTGCGAGGATTCTTTAAAAAAAAAGAATCCAACATCTTATGTTTTCATAATTCCAAATACAAAACCTATTGTGTATGCCCACATCTCACAATATTCATTTAAAAAATGGTCTGAGAGAATTTACAGCTCAATGTTGAAATCCTGTTAATTCTGCGATGAACAGTGACATATTTTATCAGTTCACACCAATACCTAAGCCAGGTGCTCTGACGATGTTAAAGCACAGACTACACAGAGGAAACTTTCTATACCCACAGTGAGTGAGATGGGGCCAGAGGAAATCAGCGATGGAAATGTTGCACATTATGATGAAGCACTAATGCCTAGGTTACCTTGGTCAAAATTGTATGGCTAAGATTTGCATATATCGATGTCCACATATATTCGCTAAAAGAAAGAATTATAACGAAGATCAGCATCATAACTGTCTCCATTGTGGAGACGGGCTGTGGAATGGGGGGGTCAAAGATGCACGAGATTGGCGGGACACTCCTAACAATGTTGGGAGAAATGCATATGGGCTGCATCAGTGTTGCCTTCATATATGTTAGCAATTTTCCATGATTAAAAGTTACAAAACAAGAAATTTTGAGCTCCCTCATCTACTAAAATATCTGTTAAGTAAAACTCAATTATTACCATTATTATTATTATCATTTAGCCCAGTGATGGCCATGGTGGTGGGGTGGAGGGCTAAGTTCAAACAATAAATACTTCTCCACTCTGCTCACAGCCGGTCATTGACATTTCTCTCACAATTGAATCTGAGATTCTCCATGTGGGAAAAAATGAGATCTACAGATAATTTGCCACTACATTGCTACTCACAGGTTTCCTGTCCCTAAGATTCTACTCCTATAGATGGAAACTCAGGTATGAGAGCAACACTTAAGTGGGTATTTGAGGATCTTCCACTGTTAACACACAAAAGGCGTATTTGTTGAGGTCTACAGAAGTATGTATCAGTGAGCTTGCTCAATTTCCTCACATTCTCTGCTAGCCGAGAACCAAAAGCTCCCAAGTCAGCAGCATGGATCTGTAGAATCCTTAAGGAACAGAAGCCAGTTGTATTTCCAGGGGGCCACATTCCCCTCCCCAAAGTGAAGCATTTTCTAAGTTTTTCTCATTCAACAGAGCTAGAATCTAGAGCTTTATGCATGTTAGGCAAATGATTTGTCACTAGGCCATATTCAAGCTAAAGTATTTTCTTACAATTTTAAAATATTCATCATAGGAATATTCACCTTAAGAAGCAGAAAAGTATAAAAAAGAATTTTAAAATTGGCTATATTATGAAGTGATAATTTTTGTCTTTCTTATACATTATATGTATAAACATATTTTACTTTGTTCAAGATTTTAGTGTAATAATTTTCCAAGTTGATTTAAAAATTACTATGCTGTGAACATTTCTACATTATTTAGTGGAATAAAACACAAGTCAATTTTTGTCTTGTTTTATTTTTCAGAGGCTGGCCCTGACTTCATTATGTAGCCCAGGCTGATCTCAAACCTGCAGTGATCTTCCTGGCTCAGCCTCCAATGTGCCCTCATTCCTGGCAAGCACAAGTAATTCAAAACATGATATTAGTAGACATATAGCTTGTGGGAATACCACCAATTATGTATTTTCCTAATGTTGGATTTGTTTAGTTTCTCTCACTTTGCAAATATTCTTCAACCTTTGACATTTGCAATTATTTTCTAATGACAACCTCAAGTTTAAATCAAAGGGGATATGTAATGATCCTATCATATATATATTTTATCCTAAAACCATGCTCAGTTAAGCTCTTCTCAGTGTTACAGGAGTATCTTTCATGATAGCACATCTGTGTTAATATTATTACTACTAAAAATATGTCCTAATTGGACAGGGAAAACTTCCTGGCCTAACTTCCTTAGTTACTAGGAAGGAAAAGCTGTTTTTCCCTTGTACATAGTTATGCATAGTCCTTTTACAATCCCAATCTAGACTAAATTGAAGTATTTTAATTTTCTTCAAAGAGATAGGTGTCCAAGTAGAAAACATTAAGAGTTAACAGATATGTAATTTACAAGAACTTGAAATTGAAAAGGGACTATTTATAAAACTGAAAATAAAGTCATTTAGAAAGTCTACACATGGCAGGAAAAGTAAAATTTCAAGCATTTAATTTTTTTTTTTTTTTTTTTTGTGGTACCGGGGATTGAACTCAGGACCCTGTGCTTGACAGGCAGACAGACACTTATTTTACTGAGCTACCTCCCTGGCTAAAGTAGAGCTTTAAGTAAGCCAAATTCAATTTTATTTCTTACTGGTATTCATAAAAATGTTTCATGGATTATCTTACAGAAAATACATGAAACCTTAATGTGACTGTGCAAACGTGCACCAACTCAACTCCACAGAGCAGCCTGCAGCATCTGGCCTTGCAGGCACGCTGGCACGGTGGCAGAACTTCCCGAGCTGGGCGGCTGTGCTCTACTACTAGGTCAGAAGAAGGAACCTCTATTTAGGAGAATGGGTGCAATACTAGATTTATTTCCCTGCAGACTTTTCTAAATTGTGTAAATATGAAACACTGGCCTATGGAAGATGGGAACATAAAATGGTGAGTTTGTGCACACTCATTGTAAGAATGTGTGTATTCATGTGCTATCACTAGTAGGTTGAGTCCTTCAAAAAGATGACAAAATCCTTAATGAATAATGCAAATATGTAAGAAAATGGAAATTAATACAAAATTAAAGACTGTGGTGAGCATTTTTATAGGTCACACTAGCTCTAAAGAAGTGGCATCAGTGGAGTCCACTTGAACCGCATGTTCTAAAACTAATCCTAAGAGTGACGCTCTGAATATACTTCCTCAGTGCGATTCTCTAATCAGAACAAAGGAGCTGCTACCAAACTACCAGGGCTCGAGGCCTGGAAATAAAAAACTGAAACCAGCTGCAAAACAGGAGCAGATTTTGTTTAAGGTAGTCGTTTCCCACAGTCAATAGCTGTCAGAGGTCCAGAGTGAGGTTGGGCTAGGGACAAGGGACCTCAGTTTGCTCATAAATTTACACATTGAGATCTTCGGCCATTCTCTGTTCCATGCAACTAGTACCTGATTTACTGTGAAGTGAATTCATGAGTTTGGGAGCTACTATGCCAAGCCGAGCAAGTATCTCCTGCCCACAAGTGTATGCTGTCAGTCTCTGCCCTCAACCCCCTTAGAATGCAGCCCGGAACACCTCTCCTGAAACCTGACATACTTAACGGTGGCAATGAGAAGGCAACTACAATCAGACCAGGCTCTCCCACAGGAAAAACCCTTATTAATATCAAATGTAATTGGTGGGAAAGTTCTCAATGGCAAATAACAATTACAAACATAAGTTAGCTGGTTAGAAAGTACAAAAAAGCTGCATAATTTTCTTCAAAAGAATAATACCTTTTGATCTTCGATTTCTTGTTCCTTTAGTAGTCGCTCCAGGTCAGCCACATCATTATGATTAAATAACTTAATGTCACTACGTGAGGCCTGTAATCCTTTCTGAATAGCAAAGCAAGCTGCTCTATCTCTGCAAGGAAGAAAGAGTTTCAAATATGTTAAAAGGCCTCAGCAATGTTCTCAGAAAAGGAATGTTACTTTTTAAGTTGACCAGTCTCTGTTACTGAAGCACAGCAAAGAAAACATGTTTGAACACTCATGGATCCTGTTTGCTCTTCACTTTGCTGGTCCTTTTCACGTGACCATATTTAATCTCTTCCAAGAAGCATACTCTTGCCAAATTCTAACCTCTCTGAAATCAGTATGCTTCTTTCTATGGATTGCCTATCAGTTTACTCAATACTTACTCTTTCTAAGAAATACATCAAATACTGCTGCATTTTCATATCAGTAGCACCTCTGCTTTGATTGACAGATTATCCTACCAATATATTACCATGAGAAGCAATACTGGCAGCCCAGCTAGACACATAGCTGGAAGTTTTTAGAAAGTCACCACTCAACTATGGCCAAACACCACTGCAAACACCAAGGTCTCAAATTTACCTACAACAGAAGAAGCTGAGTGGAACCTAAACTCCAAACTTTGAGGTGTTAGCTATATAAGGCAACCTGTACTCTTCCCAGGCAGGTGTCAGAAAAGGCCATGTAGTGAGCTGAGACTTTCACAAAGTTAGCTAGAAACACTGGACATATACCACTCCCACCATGGTTTTGGCGTACACCATAGGAAAAGTACAATCTTCCATCTCCTCAAAGGCTATAATGGGGTGCCTTCCTCATCTCTAGTTGGGTGGTGTCAGAGGAGGCCTATTGGAAAACCAGGACTGTCATCTCCCAGCAGCAATGAAGAAATCCCTACCTGAGTTATTAGTGGAGGTGAGTAGGGCTCCGGGACTGGACAGCCCCAGTGTGACTATGGATAAAGTGTGTAGGTCAAGCCTGGCTTCAGACAGTGGCTTGTGGAGGTGGACTACCTTTTCTAGACCTTTTCTGGTTTGTTTTGAACAACAAGCTAGCTATGACACAAATGTGGGCTTGGACTGCCCTCTATTGTACAAAGAGGGACACAGACCACCAGCAGATTTGGCAAACCTGGACTTGGGTGCCAGTCAGTGTGAAAATAATGGAAGTGACTCCATGGCTAGAGAAAGTAAACGATATGCTTAGGATTTCTGGAAAGGTAGGGACACACAGCCCAGACTAGGAAAACAGTAATGAGCTCTTGATCCTTCACTACACAGACATTTTAGCACAACAACAAGCATCAAGTGCTTGCAGTGAACCATGACTTCATCTAAGATTCAAAATAAGGTGGTCAGTTCATAATCTGGAGAAACTCTCAGAAGAATCTAGAACAGTAGTTTTAAGAAAACCTCAATGAACTTGAGGAAAACAGATTGAATAGTTATTTAATATTCAAACAAAATCAACAAAGTGAGGAAAACAGTAAATAAAGCATGATATAAGGCATATGTTGCGAAAAACAAAATAGATCAAACAAACCAGAATGAGCCTGAAAAAAAAGCTACTTGAAAATTCAGCTGAAGGAGAACAAAAACAAAAGAACAACAACCACCAAAAAAAAAAAAGAAGAAGAGGAATGAAAAAGATCATAGGATATCTGGGTCAATATTAAAAAAGGAAATATTTTATTTAATTGGGTCCAAGACAGACCTGAGAATGTTAAAGGGTAGAAAGTTTATTCAAAGAACAGTAACAGCAAACTTTGCAACCTGAGGACACCAATGTTGAGGCATAGGAAGGGCAAAGGTCACCAATCTGATTTCATACCAGCAAGTCTACCTCAGGACACACCATAATCATAATCCAGTTATCAGAAGTGAAAGACAAAGACATTCTTACTGCAGCAGAGAAAAAGGTGTTCCAGTTTGCCTCAAAGCAAGGAATTTTACAAATCAGGAGACAAGGGTCCAGGGAGGTGGCTCAGTAGAATAAGCACTTCCCTGGCAAGTGCAAGGGCTGAGTTCAACCCCTGGTTCCACCAGAAAAAAAAAAAAAAAAAAAAAAAAAAAATCAGGAGACAATGGCATGAGATTTTCACAGTACTGAGAGGAAAAAAAACTGTTAATCAAGAATAGTGTCCCCAGCAAAACTACTTTTTAGAAACTAAGGTGACATTTCCAGATAAAAACTGAGAGAATGTAAGTTTTTTTTTTTTTTTTTTTAATGTATTTGGTTGTTGCAGGGTCTTACTACGCAGCTTGGATTTATAGTGATCCTCCTGTTTTCAGTTTCTCCAGTGCTGGGATTACAGACATGCACCACTATGCCTGAACTCGGTGGCTAGCTCAGCCTGTTCTGGGGGGAGGGCTGGCATGGCATGTGGTACAGGTGATCAAACTGTAGTCCCTGCACTTGCCTAAACTTGCCTAAGCAGGCTCTTTAGTTAGCTGAGCTATCTTGCTGTCCCCTAGAGAAAATAAGTCTTCAACCGACTTTTTCTATGAGAAATTCTCTAGGAAGCTGTTAGAGCTGAAACAGAAAAAAATATGGAAGTCATAAACTCATGGATAAAATCAGACAATTTCAGAATAATATTGTAAACATCATGTATAAGGCATATCTTAATAAGACTAAAAAATAAAAATTCAGAATAACTGTATTAAAATGTCAAGAGATAGGGGAGGCCGGCCAAATAGCTCAGCGGATTATAGTACCAGGGGTTCGATCCCTGGATGTACCATGCCAGCTCTGCCCCCAGGGTGTGCTGAGATAGAAATTGGGACTGGGCATGGTGGCTTGTGCCTGTAATTCCAGCCCTTGGGAGGCTGTAAACAGGCAGATCACTATGAGTCCAATCTAGTAGTGAGACCCTGAACACCCTGAAGACTCTTACCTAACATGCCAAAAAAAAAAGTTAAAAAATAGGCAATAAAGATGGGTTATCAATAACTAAATGTCAGAACAATAAAAGTATAGTTTTGTTAGTAGTATATTTTCTTATTTTTATAATCATGTTTAAGCTGCTATTTAAAAATAGCTTGTTGTAATCAAAGGATGACTTTGCAAGGGACATGGCAGATACAAAACAAAATATACAATGGACAAATTCTCAACAATAGGCAATAAATCAAAATAGAGTAGAAGTAATACAGTAAATCACTTAACCACAACAGCAGATTATGAGAGAGAAAAAGGAACTACAAATAATCCATTTAAAAAATGTATTACACAATGGCCACAGTAAGAACCTCATCTACTGATAATTACCATGAATACAAGTGGATTAAATTCTCCAACTGAAAGACAGCAACAAAACAGATTAAATAAAGACCCAATTATGTGCTTGCAAGAAACTTGTTTCACCTCTAATGACATATCTGGACTAAAAGTGAAGGGATGCAATAACATATTCCATGCCAAAGGAATCTAAAAGAAAGCACTTCATTTAAATCAAAGGAGTTAAAAGGAGAAAGAAAGGTCATTACACAATGACAAAGGGTCCAATACAGCAAGAGGAAATAAGAATTCTGGAGATCACTATGCTAAGTAAAATGAGCCAGCAAAGAGACAAATACAGCAGGACCACTCACGTGTGGAATCTAAAACGTTGGTGTTTATGATGGTTATGTTCAATCGTGTCAAGTTGATTGGCTCAGAAGCTGTCAACAGGATTAGTATAGCACACTTTGGGGTGTGTATGGGTGGGTATATCTAGGCTTTCTTCCCTTTCTCTCTGATTCTGAGCCCTGTTCTGCTTTCTAAGTCCATGAACTTTGCTTTGTCATGTTTTTCTACCATGTTTGTGCTTTGTAGCCAGCTAAGCATGGACTAAATCCTCTTAAACTCTGAGCCAGAATAAGCCTCTTCTTCTTTAAGCTGGTTACTGTGTCTCAGAGACAGGAAAGATAACACAGAAAACTGGTACTGAGGATAGGGGTCACTGCTGTAACAATATATGCCCATGTAGTTCAGAAGCCTTTAAAATTGGACTGTGGGAGAAATTCAGAAAGGTTTAGAGATGTGGGATAGAGAAGAACTATAATGCTATAAGTAGAGCATGATGGATGATTTTTGTTTGGGACAGAGAAGTCCAGAATGTTGACAAAAATATGAACAAAGGCCAGGTTTGAGAGGTTTCAGTCAGAAACTAGGACTACATTGGTATTTGGACTAGAGGCCACGTGTATTACACTCTGGCAAAAAATAAAACAGTAACAATAACAACTCTCCTTCCCCCCCAAAATCCTGTATCTTGCCCATTCCCTGAGTTATTACAGGAGAGAGAAAAAGGTCAGAGGAATAACTGGTCTCGAAAACGAAATTTCAAGGCAACCCAATATTCAGGCAATAGCATGGGTACTGCTAGCTGCTGTTAGACAAATTTATAGTGAGAATTAGGACCAAAAGACAGAGCAGAAAAGAAGTTTAAATTGTGGCCAGAAAGCAGGTATGTGTAAAGTTCGGATCAAAGAAGGTACCATTAAAAATAAACTAAGTACTTTTTATAGGGACAAGAAGAAAGATGCCTGCAGAGAATCTCAGAAATTGGCAAGATCACACCAGCTCAAGGGTGCAAAAGAGTCAGCTTTTTACCTAAAAAGAGTCGCTAGGATATATGTTTAAGAAACTCTGCTATGGAATTGATTCCCTAGGATTCTTTTTACCATGTTCAGCCATTCAGGCACTCAAAGGCTCAAGGGGACCTGGCTACTGCTTCCACTGGCAGCAGACCTTGCCGTTGTCCTTGATTTTAACAGCATACAGAATGTAAGAGATCAGACTTCAAAAGAAGTACTAAAAAGGAAGGCAAATGGAAACAAAGTTGAACATGCAGTGGAAGCCACAGGAAATCAGGGATGCCAGAATCATGGAATGTCTGTTGAGGAAAGCTCTAGACTATAAGTTGATCCTGAGGGAGGCTATGCGGCTGCCCAAGCCCTTAGGAACCCGGGGTCACCATATGACCCTGATTCTGGATACAAAGCGTAAGATTTAATGTTTACCCTGCTGGATTTTTGTTTTCCTTTCATCCACTGCTCCCCACCATTCCTCCCTTTTGGTAGGCGAATGTCTAACCTGTACCTTGGAATTATGTAACTTGTATTTGAGTTTTAGAGAGCTTCAAAGTTAAGAGTATCTTGAGTCTGAAAAGACTTTGACTTTTGAAAAATTCAGGGGTCAGGAGCATAGCTCACTGGCATAATCACCTGCCTGGAAAGTGCAAGGTCATGAATCCCTGATACCCACTTCCATTAAAAAAAAAATAAAATTGGAAAATAGTTGAGGCTTTAAGAAGGGATTACTGAATATTCTATTGTACAGAGGGTAGCCGTAACATGCTAGGTGGAATTATCATTTCTTTTCCCCAGTCGAGAGGTCACATATCACCTTTATTGGATTTACTATTGGGAATGGAAATGGCTATGAAAAAGGTTCATTACAATATAAATTTATTTTTAAATTTTTTTTACAATATAAATTTATAGCTCTATCTTTAATCACTTTATATACTCTGTCATTCTAACACTTCTATTTGCAAAATGTTGCTTTCTCATTAATTTCATAAAAAATATTTATTTTTATTATAGAAAGAAAACAATTTCAAAAAAATAGAATAACAATAATATATTACATACTATTATCTTCAGAGCAGTTACACAGGATACAAGATAGACATGAGATATTATCTAAACAATATTACCAGAGATCTTTATTTTCAATGAACTAAAGGAAACTAGCAGTATATTTACATTAACTATCATATATATATATATATATATATATATATACACATATATACATATATATGTATATATTTATTTTTCCCTCTTTTCCTTTCCTTCATTTACCCTTTTCCCAATCTGCTTCTCTTTCCTTTTGAATAGTTTCTTCCCAGTTCATGATATCTACCGTACATTTTGGGTCCTGTTTACTTGTTCAGCTTCTCACAGTAGTGAGAACGTGTATACATGTGAGTCTAATTGATTTCACTTATGAATATGGTCTCAAGTTGCACCCAAATTGTTACCATGTTATATAGCTTAGGGAGATGAACTCTGGGGTAATGTGCTGGCTAAACTTAACTGTGTCAACCCAACTGGATTTGGGAACTGCTGTGGGGATTACCAAAGCACACTTCTGGGTGTGTCTGGGTGGGTTATAGAGGTGTGCCCTTGGGTATTACATCTGGTCCTCTGCCTTTTCCTCTCTGCAGTTGTCCCTCAGCTCTACTCCTGGCTACCATTAGCTGAACATCTTTGCTTTGCCATGAAGCCAGGTGACCATGGACTTGATCTTCTGAAACTATGAGGTTAAAAAGAAACCTTTCTTCCTTAAAGTTGCGGATGTCAGGTATTGTGTCTCAAGGACAGGAAAACTGGTAGAGTGTCATAAAACTTTGAGTAAGATGACCAAAATAGTTGAGGATAGTAATACAGAGAAAGGAATGGGGTAATGATCAGAAAAGGGTATTAAATTATAGTTAGAAGCACGAGAATGATAACAGATAACAATGTATATTTCAAAAAGTTACAGAAAAGTATATCAAAAATTTTCACCATAAATAAATGCTTGATATATTTAACCTGATCTAAACATTATACAGTGTATTAATATAACAAAATATTACATAAGTCTATCATCATGTAGTTTTTGCTTTTATCAGTTACGAAAATTTAAATAAAATAAAATCGGTAGAAGACAGTAAATGTAACGACTCTCTAGAAACTAAAGTATGCCAAACTCAAGCAAAATTCATTTAGGTCTCCTACCAATCAAGACCAAAAAGACAACATCTAACAAAGAAAGTTATAAGTTCACTTGTAACTGCAAGGAATAGAGGGATGCTTTCATAAAGTCATACTGATGACACTGAAGCTGCCTGTAACTGTCCATTTACTAACAATGTAGAAACACTACTTAAATTAATAGCTTTCAAGTTAGCAATAACCCATTCATATAACTGTATTTTTAATTGAATGTGTAAAACGTTAATGAAAATAATCATTTTTATGGGCACACCAGACCAGATAGGCCAGGTTCCAATGTTCAATCACGTTGATCCTTCTTTTGAACTGTATCCTCCATTCTTTCATTCTCTGAACTAGTATTTAGCAAATACTGCAGAATGGTAAATGCTATCTTATGCAAATAGGCTTATGGCAAAGAAACAGAAGTGTATATGCACAGAAATATGAAGTACTATGAAAAAAAGTACAGTGAATCTGAAGCAAATAAACAGAAAGAGGTGTGCATGTGTGTGAGGGTACATGCATATGCACACCTGTATGTCTCTTAGGCAAAACGATCTTGACAGGCAGTCTGAGTGCTCATGAGAGCAAGAATTTACTAGGACACTGAATTATCCTGGGCTGGAAGACATTCTTCACATGTAGCCAGGACCTTGCATTGCTCAGAGGTTGGGGAAGTCTTCCCTGCAGAAGGGATGCGTATGTGGGATGAGCACAAAGTAGATGAGAAGAATAGTGTTCTAGGTGAAGCAACTGATGTGCATATAGGCTCTGAGATGATAGGAAACTGGTGTGCAAAGCTAGTGAGGTAACATGGTGACCTTGTGGGAGAGAGCAGTTCAAAATGAGCCCAAAGAGGTAGCTTAGAGGTTCATAAGGATTTAAGTCTGCACTGCAGAGAATGCAAACTCCTATATTCACTAAGTGGGGTGTGACATAATCAGACTTATGCTTTTAAAAATGATTACTCTGGCTATAATAATTAAAAAGGAAAAGTAAATTTAGGGCCTGAAATGAAAAGTCACATTTAATAGCTCACTTGTGAGATGAGAGAAGCTTGGGCTGGAGTGGCAGATATTCTGACTGATGTAACCAGCTTCCTTGTCTACACTAAAGCTTGCAATGCTCGGCTCTGGCCTATTCCTTCACAGAAAGGTGCAGTAACATGTGCCCAGGATGTAGGCACCCAAGTCTGGAGATCTGCCTGTAGGTAATCAAGGATGTTCCCAATTCAGAGTTTCTATGTCCTTAATAACCTATGAAACAAGATCAGCAAAGACTTGGAGTTTCAGGTAGGTGGGTTATGAAAAGTGAGCAGCTTTATGGGGCAGGGTTATATGAGCAATGCAAGGTTATGTTTGCAGAATTATAAGGACACGTTGCCATAGGACAGGCTTCACATGGATATCAACAAATAAAACTAGTATTGCAGATAAGCAATTACAGACACCTTTAAGTTTCCTTTGAATACAAGTCTCAGATTTGACTTTGACTGGGATAATGGAACATTTCATTAATAATGAACTGAAGAATTAAAATTATTTTAGGCATATGTCTTCCATGCAAAAAATCTCCAAGACAGTATTATTTCCAAAAGTATTATTTCCTGTTTAGATGGGCAAATAAAGATTACTTACACAAATATGATGTCCCCTCTTTTAGAGTAAGCAGGAATTGCACTGGCTATGGTGGAAAAGCCATATGAGTATATAATAGCTTCTTCAGTCTTCATAAATTTTGCCAGGCGCTCTTCCAAATCCAAATGAACATCTATTTAAACAAAAAAGTCAAACAGTTAAACCATTTTATAATTTTACTTTTTTTTGTATGATTAAAGAATAAAGAAAGGAATGTGACATTAACACTTTAACTCAATGGTTAAAATACAATTGTTTTAAAATAATAAACTATAAAACATGTGCAGTATTAAAGTAATTCTGAGTCAGAAGCACTTCTGAATTACATGAACTGAAATCTGCTACTGGTCTGTCAATTTAACGTTTACACTTCTACAAATTCTGCAGACCTACTGCCTTCATCTATTTTAGCTTTTACTGACTGAAAACATGAGGCTTTAACAGTGTCCCACATCAATTCAGTAACAGCTTTTGTATTTTAAAAGGTCTGGTGTACTGCGTCAAGATAGTGACATGTATTAGAATGATAATTACTTGTCCTGTAGCAATCCATGTTGACACTTAGTTGTGATACTTGCCATCCCTGTGTAGGATAGTGCTTCTATATGATGGCTTAAGAGTATACTGGTGAATTTAATTTTCTAGCACCAAAAGATGTAAGTTCTTTTAAAGAAGCAACTTAAGAATCTTTATATAAATGAATGGCAATACGTTATAATTACAAAGTTGACATGTTTTTACCTCCCTTATAAAATCGTTTCTCCTGAGAGCCTTTCATCTCCTAGGATAACCCACAAGGGTCCATGCTCTGGGACGGAAGGACAAGCAATGCTTAGAGTGAACAGGCCACCCATGAGCTTTGAACCTTAGAATTTCAAGTAGCTTAACTTGTTCTATAGGCTTGAACTGTACATAAATGACTGTGGCATCACGCAGCTTGAACTACTGGTGACACAATCAACCCCACCCAATGGGACAGTCATGATATACTACCAGTGGTTCAAACTACTGAGCAGCAAGACATATGAATATGAATTACACATGAATATGAATTACATATGAATATGAATTACATATGAATATGACATATGAATTACAGCCCCATCATGAATGTCTTGAAGTGAGACACTGTGTAGGAAAGAAAGGGACTTTTAAACATTTCCTTGGCTCCTATAACTGCAGTAGATCTAAGCACAGAGGGCTATACCACAGAGTACATGTCCTCTTGTGCAAGAGACACTATCCACACAGAAAGAGCCAGGTCTTGCCAGTTCCAGAGCTGTGAGAGACAAAGGAGAAGAACAGAGGTCACAAAGGCAGATTTTGAGACAGTGGAAGAGGGAATAGTGTTTTGTGTACTGGAAGAAACTAGTGTGGGTGATGGCCACACCCTTCCACCATCATGTTTCTGCCTTGGAACACTCTGATCATGGACTGAACCTGAGAAATCTAAATCAAATTAAATCTCTGCTCCTTTAAATTGTGGAGGCTGTCAAGTGTGTCTCAGCAACAAAGAAGCTGACTAACACACGTGGTAAAATATACAGCACTATTTTTCCCAATTTACTAGTTACAATGTAAAACACAGTCTATGAACATACAACTAGCATGTGAAACATCACTTAATTTCCATTAAGAATTGGCAATGGTCATTCTGCAGACTTTGCATTATGTCAATATTAAATAATTTAAAAAAAAAATCTGGGGGCCAGGGAGAGAGCTCAGTAGAATAAGTGCTTGCCTGGCAGGCGCAAGGGTCTGAGTTCAATTCCCAGTTCCACAAATAAATAAATAAATAAATAAGTGCGGGACCTTATACCAGCAAATTTAGAAGGCACTCCAGGTGTCTGCAAGCACTGAAATAAGACATTCACAACACACAAAACTAAACTACCTGACTGCTAGCCTTTAGGAAAGAAAGGTGTTATCAACAAAAGCTTGTAGGTAAAATCTTGCCAGAAAGTGGAAAGCTGCCAGGGACAGAGGTTAAACTGACATGTCTTGTGTGTTTTTGGAATACCATTGTCCCATCACCTTTCACATCCCCACAACACTGCATAGGAGTGCAGTGCCTACAAACACAAGTAGTCACTAGATGGACTACCTGGCATGGCAAACTGCTTTCATCTAAGATTTTCCTTTCGAAAAAGAAAGCATGCCACAATACAGACACTATTTTTATTAATGACAAGAGGGATTTTAAATTACTCTCCAGGTTTCTTACCTAAAAATACTTTTTATTGATGAATAATAAGGATGTAAAATGAACAGGGTTTTATTTGAGGCTCCAGAGTGAGTTACTCTGTTATATTAAGAATATTCCTCACATCACCATAAATATAAATTGCCATAAAGTGGCAAGAAGACTCTCTACCTAATAAATCAGTGACTTACTGATTCTTGCCTAGTCTCAGAGCTTTCATAATCCTGACCACTCCTTCTGCCTGAAGACAATGGGTTTTGGCAGATGCTTTGCAGAGCAGGTTCTGTGATGCATAAATACAGGTAAGTACAGAACTTGTTTCTCTTTAGTCATTTTGTGCAATGAAGAAACTCCCAACCCAAGAGAAAGACAGCAAGAAGAGAAATTACCAGGGTGCTGTTCTTGGATTTCTTACATCTGCATCTTCTGTGTATAGATACACCTCAGCAATTGGTACCATTATTGTGCATGGAATGAAACTCATTCACCAGTCACAGTGGCAGAGGAGATGTCATGCTGAGATGCCTCCGAAGGCTTCTGTAGACTAAAAATTCTCCTGGCACTGTCTCACAGTTGCTTATCTGCCTGCCTGGCTCAGAGCTGGACACAAGAGGTCTGGCCACTAAGGTACTTTGTCTCAGCTACAAGAAAAGTAACTAACATGAAATTTAGTACCAGACAAGTGGGATCACTGCTGCAACTTCTTGGACCATGTGGTTCAGGAGCCTTTGGAGTTGGCTAGTGAGAAGTCTATAAAGTTTCAGAGATGTCAGCTAAAGAAGAGGCCCCAGAATGCCTTAAGCTATGTTTGATGGGTGATTCTGGTCATAGCTCAGAAGATCAGAAGGCTGACAGAAATCTGGCAGGTAAAGACCAGGCTCAGGAGGCTTCTACAGAGAAAAACTCCACTGATTGCTAGACTCCAAATGACATGTGCTATGCCTTGGCAGAAAGTTTGCCTCCTTTTTGCTCATGTCCAGAGGCTTTACTTGAGATAGAGATTAAGAGCTATAGACTGATTAATCACACAGAAGGAATTTTAAGACAATCTAATGTTAAGATGGTGGTATGGGTATTCTTGGGAGTTTTAAGTTATGTGTGCTAAGAGTCAAAAGCAAAGAGCCCAGCAGAATGATTTAAAATTTGAGTTTCATCAGAAAGAAAGTTCTAGAAGTTACACCCTATAAAAAAGGAACAGAGGAAAAAACTAGCAAGAAAAAGCCAAATACTTCAGAAGAGGGCAATAAAAAAAAAAAAGCCTGAGGAAATCACATGAAACATAAGGACCCTCCCCTTTGCAGTCTCCAAATTGCAAAAACGGAAGACCCCAGAGCACCACGTTCCAGAATGACAGCAGTCTAGGGAAGTTTTTCCTCTGGATTTGGTTCCAAGTAACCTCTGCAGCCAAAAGAGCTACTGTGGGGCCGGGGAGATGGCTCAGTGGAATAAACTCTTCCCTGGCAAGGGCAAGGACCTGAGTTCAATCCTCGGTTCCACCAAAAAAAAAAAAAAAAAAAAAAGAAAAAAACAAAAGAGCTACTGCTCCAGTAGAGAAGAGGTCATGTTGCGGCATCTCAGAAAGCAGATGGCAGACCAAGGTGACATCTACATGGCACCAGCTTTAGGGGCAAATAGAATGCAAGAACTGTGGCTTCGGGAAGGCTTCTACCCAGACTTCAGAAGAATGCCTTGGAAGCCTCACAGTACACCTGAGAGGGCAGTGTGTGAACATGAAATCAAAATTGTAGTGGAGACCCCAAAAGTTTAGAGAGCCAGGAATATGGATCATCTGAGGAAAGATGCAAGATAGAGATTAAGGGGAGCAAAACTAGCCTAAGAGAGAAGCCATGGGAGCTACACTACCAGCAATGCTGAAGGGCAGAGTCATCAAAACCCTTCAGAGTTCACAACTTGTCAGATTTCCAGGGATGTTGGACATGAAACTATGAGATTTAATGTTTTCCCTGATTGATTTTAGTCTTGCTTTGGTTTCATTCCTTCCTTTCCCCCTTTTATATTTTGGAGTAAAAATGTCTATCTTGTGCCACTGAATGTTGGAAGTGTTTAGCTTTCTTTTCATTTGTACAGCGCCTCATAACTAAAAGTTTACATTAAATATCAGAGGAAACTTTGGATTTGGACTTTTCAGCAGTACTGAAACTGTCAGGACTCTGGCAGCTCTCAGAAACAGACTGTGTTTTGCACAAAGGGACATACATGAGTCTTCGAGGGGCCAGGGTGGAATACTACAGCTTGTGTTTAGATGTTCTTCCAAAGCATCATGCAGTCATAGGCAAGGCTTTTCTGAGGTGGCTGGATCTAGGGTATGTGCTGCTGGGATCAAGAATATGACATTGGATATGACATTGGGACTGATTCATGGTAGGAGGTTAGGGTTAAGGCTGTCCCACTCTGGGTGCGAGTGCTGCCTGTCTTAAGGGTGGGCAGCCTGGATAAGGTACAAGGCAGAGAGAGTCACTGCCTGGTTACCTGTACCTTGCTGCTTTACTTCTTTATTACTTCACAATGCCCTTCTGCCATGAGCCATCCAACGACAGACTGAAACTTCTACAACCTGTGAGAAAATAAACTTTTCCCCCTTTAACTTTGTGTGTTGCATATTTTGTCTAAGCAATGAGAAAAGTAAGCCAGTTTCTGATCCCATATGAAAGTAGCCAAAAACAGGCCCATCTTTCTGGAACCCCTATCATGATTCTGTCTTATCAGCATACCTATCTATCTTTACCCTGCCACCTTTCCTTTTCCTCTTTACAAATAAAGTGCCTTCTTTTCACTAAACTTTATCTGTCTAATTTTTTACTGAGTCTGACTTTATGCTATCAGAGGGCTGCTTGGACAGTATGCAGCAGTGCTCATCTCCTGGATGCAATAACCTTAACATTTACAATGAGGAAAGATTTCAGATTTCT